TACCCATACGGCAAAAAGGTTTATTAACTGACAGTTGACTTCTCACTTCAAACTACCATGGCCCCACTGTATGTCATATTCGACTACTTCCACAGTACTCACCTTAACTTTTTTTACCTTTGTGTTTGTCTCTTGCATCTTTGAAACACTCTTCGGTCCCCCCCCCTCTCGACTTTTTTCGATTTGGTGTCCCTCCTCCCCTCTGTGAAGCCTGAAGTCAACTAAAGGGCTAATGATAACTATCAAGACGCCTGACATTTGGTATAAATAAATAATAATAATAATAATAACCTTTTCCACATTTAGGCTCCTACGCCCAAGCCATGCATCTCCTGAATCTACAAGTCGGTGTTGTCGACTTCACTCCCTACGCACCAATCTTCCACGCACTCTACGCCTCCTCCCGCGTTGTTCTTCCCGGTCTCTCCCGTAGCCCCTCCCTCTTCATTTACCCTCATCGCAATGCCCGTGGACTCACCGCACCCTCAGAAGCTCTTCCCGCAAGTCCCTTGCGTCTAGAACATCTCATCTCGCGTCTCCAAGTTTCTTACCAACTCACCACCAAGGCCAAATTTGCTGAGGCTGTAGAGAAATTCCGTTCAATCATGCTTTCCGTGCCACTCCTTGTGTTGGAGAATAATAAGGAAGAGGCTGAAGCAAAGGATTTGATCACGATTTGCAAGGAGTATATTATTGGCCTGCAGATGGAGATGACGAGAAAGACGCTACCGAAGGATACTGACGAGGTAATTTTGAAATCTGCTTTTATAACGCTAGTTGCCCCCTTATGAGACGACACTACTCCGATCCCAGTTGGACGATTTTAGATGGTTTGCACCTGAAACGACATATGGCAAGTGATTACTTCCTCCTAGCCACACCCTTCATCGATGCCTGTTTATATGCTTACTTATGAATGTAGCAATTCGCGATTCTCAGTTGTCAAATGCAGTGTTCTTTTTAAAGAATGCTGGTCAAGCCCTCACGTGCACTGGATATATTATCGCTGAGAACTGGAGCACCTCTAGTGATTAGGGTTTTAGAAAAGAGTTATAAAGTTGATTTGGAGTGGATGTTAATCTCTCTCTGCTGCTGCTGCCTTCTGGCGTTCTACATTCGTCCTGAAATCAAACCGTCCCTAAGACATAAATTGTGCCTACGACATTGAGTTAAGAATATGAGTATTTATTCATCGTTATCATTTATTTTGCTAATTGGATTAGCGAATAATTAGTTATTAATTTGAAATTTCGCATCTGATTTGGCAAATTGCACTTTGCTTCCTTTGTTTATGACTGGCGTTTTTCACAGTCGATGATGTTTTCATGATCTCAGTACGAATCTGGCTGGCATCGCCTAAGTCGCTTGGACCCTCTCCATGGTTATTATCCATTGCAATATTTCGCTGATTGGCCATGGATAATAACAATAATAATAATAGTAATGCTAATCGTAAATAGGTACTGATATGATCCAACTATTAGGTAGCCGGCTGTGCCTTTTTAGTTCAGGAGTTCACGTCGTCGCAGTACAGTTTTCATTTGCCTAAATTTTGTCTGTTGTATTCTTATAATTGCCGTGTGTTATGCTTTGTCTTCTTTGTAATTATAATTCAAATATTTTTCTGCATTTCACTTCTCCTCCAAGTTTTTTTTTTTGGGGGGGGGGGGGGGTGAGAGGAGCTTGTCAATCATGTTTATTCTCTGCTTTACCAATGTCATCTCTTTATTTTGCTGGAACTTTTGTTCACATTGAGAGCTAACACTTTCCAAGTCCTTGTCGTCGTCGTCGTCGTGTATTTCGATCGAAGTATTAGCGTCATTGTGCCGAATAACTTTATTCTAATCCTCTTTTTTTACCAGAAACTTTTTGTTCATTTATTACCGCGAGTGACTTTTGACCATTTCTACTGCTGTTATTTACTATGCCAATGGCATTTTGGTTATAGCCTTCTACAGAATTACATATCTCCCTCATTTGTCTTGAAGCCGATCTCCAGGCCCATTCTTTGAAATTATCCCAACTAAACTACACTTCGCCTTTTTTCCCGCTTTCCATCTGAACTTTGCACGCTTTCCTTTTACGTTTCGTGTCCCCCCCCCCTCAAAAAAATAATCGATTTCAAGAGTCAGCTGTTAGTCTCAAGGCCGTTTGACGGTGTGTTCTTTCTATCAGAAATTCCACTTGAGCTTCAAATGGAATCTCGCGTGCAGACGCTCCTCACACCAGTTCAATCTAACTTACCTTTAGGTTCACTTCACCTGTCATCTGATATGCTTTTCGAAGGCAAATCGACCCCCCACCCCACCATGCAATGTACGTCTCGCCCTCACACTTCGGTAGTGGCGATTTTAGCCAATTAATTTTATCTCTTGTCTTCATGGATGGCTGGACAAGAAGTTAGAGCTGATTGGACCAAATTTTGCTTTAAATAACCTTTCAAGAAAGTTGGCAAGCGTCATTCTACTGCTGTCAAGGCTTAATAGCATTCATTTGTCTATATGGTTATGCTCTTTTGGTGGGAGACTAAATACTACCACGTTTACTAGAAGATGGGAAGGAGGCAAAGACGAGTGCAAAATGGCTATATTTGGGAAAACACCGTAAAGACTTGGGACTATTTAATAAAATTTGTGTTGCGTAATGGTGGAAGCAATCGATAAACAGCTTGGAGGGCGGCAAATGAATTAGATGCCAAACGAAGGAGTGAATTTTGTTTTGAATCAATAATTGAATTGCAATATACGGAGGTAGGAAATAAGTTCACTGTCCCATTCCTTCAACTTATTATCTTGAGCATATTCAAATGGTCTTTAAGTCATCAGTCTGTCTGTTCCAGGCAAACTCTATTGATCCGCCTTATTTTCATTCTCCTATTTGACGTATTTAGGAAAAGGTCCGTAACGTGGAGCTGGCCTGCTACTTCACTCACATGAATCTCCAACTCCCTCACCTCGTGTTGACCCTCCGCACTGCTGTGAATCTTCTCTTCAAACTCAAAAACTTCCGTACTGCTGCTTTAATGGCCCGACGTCTCCTTGACTTGGCTGCTGAGCCCGCAGTTGCCGAGCAAACTCGAAAGATCCTTCGTGTCTGCGACGCCAATCCAACTGACGCTTTCGAGTTGACCTACGATCCACGCAATCCCTTTGAAGTTTGCCCGGCCTCATACACGCCAATCTATCGTGGAGAAGAATGTGTGCGGGAGCCTCTTACCGGAGCTGCTTACAAGCCCGAGTTCAAGGGCCAACTCTGTCGTGTTACTAAGGCAACGGAGATTGGGCTTATGACCAGGGGAATGTGTCTTCAAATGCCTAAGTCGCGTTGATGATATTGGGCAATTGTATTTGTGACTTTCCTCTCTTTTAATACTTTCAACCTTCTTGTTTCCTGTACTTCTAAGCCTATTCCACCTTTCTCCCTATGTCATATTCATTGAATGATTGCCTATTGGTCGCTTGTTTCTTCCCCGCCACCCTAGTCTATCCGTGTGAAAGCGATTTATTAAAGGTTTTTTTCATTATGAATTTGAGCTTATGTTAAAGGAAATGGGATTATAAATGCAATCAATTCGGGTTTTTTTAAGTTTATATTTGCTCTCTTAGATAATCCTCTGAAGATACCCTGACAGGAGTTGCTCAAGCCCAGAAGGTTCCACTACTCTTATTAAGAAATTTCGTATAAGGGGTTGGATGACTATTTGTTTAGCCAATAGAGTGACAGCGAGGTGGCCTCATTCTCAGCCATGAAGTTATCAGACCAGCACCCCAATTAATGGATTGCCTTAGAAATTATTTATATCAAATGGCAGGTGTTTCGATGGTTATCATTAGTCCTTTAGTTGACTTCAGGCTTCACCGAGGGGAAAAAACATCAAAGTGGCAAAAAGTCGAGAGGCGGGAGGGAAGAGAAAAGTGTTTCAAAGATGTGAAAGAGACAGACAGACACAGGGGTAGAGAAAAGGTGAGGTGAGTACTGTGAAAGTAGTCGAATATGACATACAGTGGGGCCATGGTAGTTTGAAGTCAACTACCGATTAATAGACTTTTTGCCGTATGAGTATACGTTCCCCAGGGTGCACCACGTGGAGGTAAGTCTATCGCACACCCCATACCTTAGAAATTAATAAGTTGCACAAATTATACTCAGGATCTAAGAAACATATCCTCTTTTCCTCTCAACTGGTAGGGCAATATATTATTCCATTGCCTGGTAAATACATAAAAAGGGCCTTTCAAAGTAGTCTAGACATTAGTGTCAGGATGCCCTATGTTAAATTTGGTTACGTTTGGATGTGTGGGCTTTCTACTGCTGTCAAACAAATTTGAATTGCATAAAATTTAAACTGCATATGAATGAAAACTTAAATTCTTGATAGCCACAGACTGTGACTTGAACACACACATCAGCCACGAAAGCTATGCTTTGATTGGATGCCATAAAAGGTTTGAAGTAATGTCTCTCTAGATGCACAAAATAGCGCTGATTGTTATCATAAATGTCTGTAAATCGTGGCTTCAAGACTGGAATCTAGTTTCAGGTACTCTTTCTAGAAGTAAATATATCGAAGTCTCTGTACTCCTTTGTCCAATTCTTGAGAATGCAGATGCGCAGTTGAGAAATCGCTTGTTTCAAATGAAGATTCTTAGATATTAAGGAGGCCGGTTGCTTCACTTGAGGTATCCAATCCCTTACTGTTTTCCCGTCGATGGTCGTGATGAACCTGCTGGAATTGATTGGAGCAAGTCTGTTCTCTCCTCACTTACGATAATTTATATGGACATTGTTTTATTACTTCCGACTTTGAAAAAAATCAGTAAAATTGGCTTTTTTAGTTATGAAACGGAGTAAATAAACAGTAATATTTCAGTAATGGGAAAGGGCTGGAATATTCGTAGTGCAGGAAGATTCTTACTTCAGTCGAATTCGTCCGGATGTTCAGCAGTTTCAATTAATGGATATGACTCTTATTTACTCATCTTCACAATGTTCGAAGTCGATTTTTGGAAATTCTATTGCATTTGTCCCTTTTTATTCAAACAACTGAACCTTGCGCTAACTAAGTGGCATGGTTTGTAGAATACCCTATCGAAGTGCCGATTATGGTTGTATGTTTTGTACCTCAAATAGACCAGCGGATGGATAGTACCCAAGGCTCCATAATCTCGTTGGCTAATAATTACTGCGCACGTGCTCTCTGTCTCCATCATTGTTTCGTTCATAAATCGTTTTATCGATTTTGCGTAAAGGTTTTTTTAACTTAATAATAATAATATCTTTCGCACTTCATACATTGAGTCTTGATAATTTAATTTGATTAATGGGTGACGAAGTAAGTGAGTGCACAGCTATACGCCGCAGTTCATTACTAATGCGCCGTCACGCCATTGGTGATTATTTCAATCACTTTTAGTGCTCAATGAAAGGGAAATGTACCTAAACATGTATGCTCATAGAAGCGCGCTACTTTGTCTGCTTTTCACTGAAAACGGATTTAATGTCCAAAGTGGGGGGAGGGAATCTTAATAGGATAACTAGCACATAGTTGATTAAGCAAGCTATATGGGTCATTTTTATATAATTCGAAAAGAGGAAATTTTGAGAACGCATAGTCCCGGAAAATTCTACACTAGGGAAGATTCAATTGCTTACGATGCACAATTTAATGAATCCGCTCATTAATATAACCTAATTAGTTATTAACTAATTAATGGTTTGGAGGTTGTAGATCCTTAACTGAATTTCCTTAAAGAGAGCCGGTTGTAGATCAATATGGATAAACAAGCTTAAGTTAATAGGAATTAGGGAATGCAGTAATAGAATTAAATGTGAGGCTGAATTACATAACTAGAGGCATCCCATTGGTTAATTCAATAACTCCATAAGTTGTCATATTGCGTCTGCAGGCTGTCGATTGATCCCAAACGGTCATGTGTTATAGTTGATGTTCAAAAAAGGGACTGTCCGAATTCTGCTGAAATGATATAGAAGTGCGTTGGACTCTTTTACTCAAACGTTTCATCTCTAAAGAGACCATTTACCAATAAAACTATCTTTGAACTCACCAAATACTCCCTTCAACTGTGTGTTCTAGAAGAACCAACAGATAACTAATTTTGAATTCGAGTGTTAAAAATGCAAGTTTTTCTTTCGTCTGAATTTCAAGTTTGTTCAGCCCAAGACTAACTTCACTCTATCATTTGTTCCTTGGGCACTTCTTGGAACTCTAAACAAATCTCAGTTAGGAAGAGGAGTCGAACATTCTAGGCCCCACCTATTCGACTTCTCAACCATTTCCTTACAAGTTCGTGTTTAGGAAATGAAATTTGTTGCTTAATTATTGGCATTTAAATTTATCTTAAGCTATGCCCCCCATCAGGTCGGTGTGATGGGGCATTCATCTTATTTTCGCATATTCGAAGTTTGCGCGTGCCTGATAGCTTACTATATCTCTTGCAATACTGACCAAGTTCTCCCTTCTATTTCCCCAGTGGTTTAAAATCTATTTATATACAGTCCGAGTTGGCGACTTCTATTCCTCCTCACCTCCCCACCAATATCCCAATCTCTACTGCTTTCTTCTTCCTTTATGAAAATGGTTAGTGAACATTTTATTTTGTTCCACAGGGTGTGCCATGGACTTACCTCCACGTGGTGCACCCTGGGTAACGTATACCCATACGGCAAAAATGTCTATCAATCGGTAGTTGACTTCTGACTTCAAACTACCATGACCCCACTGTATGTCATATTCGACCACTTTCACAGTACTTATCTTGCATTTTTTATGCTTTTGAGTCTGTTTGTCACTTGCATCTGTGAATCCCTCTTCTGTTCCCCACCCCTCGACTTTCCATTACTTTGATGTCCCTTCTCCTCTTTGAAGCCCGAAGTCGACTAAAAGGCTAATGATAACCAACAAAACGCCTGCCATTTGATAAAAAAACTATTGGTTCCACTGTTGTTAGCTGCACCAAATGACTCCCTTATGACTCAAATGTAAAACGTTACTGGCCTTCAAGAACAAGTCTGGGTTAGACGAAATACCACTCCTGACAGCGAAGGGGTTGAGAAATTGAAGTGTTTTTTGAGTTCATCTTGTGATATTGGTATCCCTTTTTCGTTAATGTTACCTTTACCTCCCTATTGATGTAATGACTCCGACATAGCCGATTGACCAAGAATCGAAGTCTTTGCTGAGTTTAGACTACATACCGGACACGATTGCTTGGCAAAACACCTTCACTGATTGGGAGTATACACTCAACCAACATGCCCTCTACGTAACATACAAGAGGAAATGGAGAAGACCCACCTGATTCGGTGTAGAGCCCTAAAGACAACGACGGAAAACCAGAGATACTGGGAAGCAGGAAGACAGCTAATGAACTGCTATTAATTAAGTGCTATATATGTACCCCCCCCCCATCCATGGGGAAAGCTGAAGTCAAAGTTTAAGGGCTAATGATAAATATCATAAAGTCTGCCATTTGAAAATAAGATGTAATGTAACATATTCCTGTTATTTTATAACGCATAACTAAAACTAGATTGTCACATTATAATCATTTTCTTCCTTACTCACTGGTTCTCATAAATTGTTTGTTCTACCGCTAATCCTATTACGATGCCTAAAATGTGTAATT